AGTCTGTTAGTTTCAAAGACGAGCTGAGTGCGTGTGATTGTGTCATGATACAGGGGTGCGGTCAGGGATACCGAGGCAGGCTCGGGTCAGGGGCCAGGAGAGCAGGGCAGCCTCAGAGTCGAGGCTCCTTTCCCTGATACGTGGACGGTGGTCTTTATTTACACGTCCACGTTGTCTGAGCCAGTCTTGTGGAAGGCTGTCTTCTTGCCCACGCCCTGCAGATCCACAGACCCAGCTCTGCCGGCCCCGCTCCTCAGTAGGAGAAAGCCAGGTTGACACAGGTGCAGGGGTGCTTTTGGCCTCTCCACACATTTCTGAGGTTGGAAAAGAAGTGGAGGGTGGAAACAGCAGCTAATGGGGAGGAGGGAGATCTCCTTGGAGGAGAGAGAGACCTGCCAAATGATTGCAAAGGGGTTTTCTTCCGGTGTTGGTTGTTCCTCCTGTTTCAAAGGCAGCACGTGGTCACATGTCCTAAAAAGTCCAGAGTCACACAGGCACTCAGAATGAAGAGCAGGAGTTTATGGGGGGTGAAATCCTCATGGCCCTCGTGAAGGTGTGCCACGTCAGGTGCCCGAGCAAGACCCTAGTGTTCAGGCAGCTGTGGGAGCGAAGGCTGGTGGTAGTTAGCAGGAGCCCAGCCCTCCACCCCAGCTGACAGTCACTCTCCTGTGTCCTCCTCAGCCGGGCAGTACCAGGGACTGGCTTAAACCCCGAAGCCGCTCTCGAGTGATGTCGTCGCCATGTATGTAGCATGTGTGTAAACGTGTTTATTGCTCACTAACCAGTTTAGTCAAGAGTGTTGGAGACCAAAGCAGGAATAAAAGGTTGTGTCGTGCATACGTTAGTGTCTCGATTCTCCTACCTGACTCGGAACAGCCAAGGCCAGCTGACCTCACTCTCGTCACTGCAGGTGAGGTCGGGGCAGCGCCGCTCACTTCTGTTTAATTGTATATTTAAAAAGACTATTGAGACTAATGAAAGTTGATTGTGAAAAAAATACAGGTAAGCAAAACAAACTACTAAAGATGCCTAAATTGATGACCCAGGTATTTTGAACTTCAATTTTCTTGTTGTTCAGCATTAATTGTCCAAACCCCGAGCATCTTTACCTTTGAAAGTGTAGTTCTGGCAGCTTCTTTGCTCTGCATCACAGCAGTGTGTACTGGTGTGGTTACAAAACATTTTCACATTCTGAGCTTCATTGGACTTTATCTGGATGCAGGGTTAAATTAGAAAGGAATTCTCCTGGCATCCACATTTAGTTATTTAGAATTTCCTTTCTTAAGAACCAAAATAATAATACGCCATGAGTATGACCTGGGGACCTGTACCAGTTTGACAGTGAGGATTTGGTGTGTTTTCCTTCAACTTCAAATATTTTGGTCATCAACTCAGAAGAACTAGGGCTAAGAAGGTCTGTTTAATGGATAACATTTCCCCCTAGTCTTCAGTAACTTTGATTTTCCACCTCTCTGTGGAACCAGCCCCTATGTCCTCGGGCCCCTGTCCCGGTGGATCTGTTTTGACCGTCACTTGCGAGGCCCTGTCCTTTCTCTGACCACCTTCTGATCTCTGTTCCAAAGAAGCTAAGTGTTTGGGGTTTTTACTCCTGATAAAAGTTCCTCTTCACTTTGTGTTCCCTAATCTTGGAGTTTTTTGTCATATTATGATTCAAATTTAAATAATAAAATGTAATTGAAGTGGTGCCGTGTTGAAGGTAAGACACAATGAAATGTCTTCAGTGCTAGGGATTACCCGTGGTACCCTGGGGCCTTCCTGACCCTCAGTGACGACAGCTGGAGGAGCTTTAGTGTTATTCACAGGCTAAATGCAGTCAGTCAGTGGTGACCGGCTGTGTTTTATTGTAAATTCCAATTCAGTAGCATTTAAGCCAGTGCATGGGAATGCATTTTCTTAATTTTATTCTACTCCAAGTGGGGGAGTTGAGTGAGGCACAGAATGGCGTCTTCTGACATGAGACGCGTCTTCTGTGACTATTGATTCTAGCTGGTCCAGGAACCTACACGTGTACACATACACACACACATGCACACACACTCCCAGGTGTCTTCCCCCAAAGCATGCTTTTTCTTTCAGTGTTGCTGCACCACGGAACTTGAAATAGGGCATTCAGCCTGGTCTGCCCCAGCCCCTGCCCTGCCCCTACCCGGCTCACCCTGTGATGAGCTCTTCCAGGGGGAGGCTGCACCTCTTTCGTCTCTCTAGCCCCCATTTAGCATCGTGTCCGGCCCACAGAAAAGTCCCGATAAACAGGATAAAGGAGTATCCTGCTTTGTAAGTCTTCTGCTAAATCTTTGTTATTTTTTATTTAGCCTTGTCTGAGGCAGCATTCCGTTCTTACTGGGCGATGATGGAGATGTTGAAAGTTTTTAAAATAAATGTTTTTTAATGGAAGATGAGTGTTTTTGGCCCGGGAAGTCAAGCTTTTATTTTCTTTGAGTTGCCACGAACTCAAATATATTCTATTCAAATGAGGATGTATTTGCAAGTAAAAAGGCACCACACATGGTTCCAGTGTTTCTATAATCACATGTCTTTGTTGAGTGGAGCCCTGCCTATTTTAGAATGAATATTTAATATTGCTTGTGATAACCATAATTTTTGGGTAGTATGTGTTTAAGAATCAGCAGTGCGTTCATGAATGGAGCTCAAATTTAATTCCTACTTTACTACTAAGATTCATATTAAAAACCATATTATTTAATTTTTTATATGCCAGATAGTATGAAATTTGAAAGATACCAAAAGGTAGCAGTGAAAAGAAAGTCTTACGACCCTTGTCCCTAAGCCACTTGGTTCCCAAACCATAAATCAACAACTCTTAAGTTTTTAGTTCTCCCAGAAACGTTCTCAGCCTGGACAAGCTTATGTGTGTATTTTATACATGTGCATGCTTGCATACTTACATACTTACATCACTATAGCCTCCAGATACCTGCACTTCAGTATGTTGAGGCTTCAAATGTTTTATTGGCTACTTAGTATCCACTGTATGGATGTATCCAAATTTACTTAACCAGCATTGGGTTTGTTACAAGTACAGTAACAGGGCAGCTTCCTGGGCCACTCTGGGTGGGTGCATTTCATGTTGGGAGAGTCACTGTCATTTACTCTCCTGTCTTCCCTAGACCATTGGGGTCACCCCTCAGGGCCTGTAGGCCACATTCCCAAGCAGTTGATGACAGAAAATGGTGTTTTGCAGCCTAATTAGTAACATTGTTCACTAGTAACAACGTCAGTTACCATTTGCCAAGCACCTAAGGGGTCAGGCCCCTTGCTGCTGCCTTCCATGTTTATCTGTTTACAGGTGATGACTTACCTGTGGCCTGTTAGGTGGTGCTTGGCTGACCAGAGAGTGGGTGGTCAGGTGCACAACATGATATGTATCCCCGATATTTAGCCCCCAGTGTGCTCACTTCAGTGGGGCCAGAAGCAGCTCTTGGTCTTGGCTTTCGTGAACATCTTTCCTTAGCTCCTGCAGGCACACCTCTGCCCACTTGCTCTGCCCACTGGCAGTGTATTCAAGTCCCCGAAAGTCCAGCGTCTCTGATGTTGAACACCAGTCCCTTGCAGCTGAGCTTTCGAGGTTACTCAGGGTGTCTTTATCAGCCTTCCATCTTCTCCAACTGCTTGAGGCCTCCCATCTCTTCTAATCCATCAATCTGTCCTTTCTTCAAGGCCCAGAGTCTTCCTCTGATGGGCCGTCCTGCTCCTGAGCGTCAGCAGACCTCTGCCTCCGTCTTTGCAGGGCCGGCAGTGTCTGCCTGGTTGCGTGGCCGCACACCCCATTTTCGTGTCACCATGGGTTGTGTTCGCCTCGCTTCCTGCAGATGCACTTCTTGTCCTCCTCCATGACGCCCCTAGCGGACCTGCGTGATCCTGCCACTTGCTTCATTGCCACAGCTGCTTGGTTCAAATGTCCTGTGTCTGTTTGAAACCAATGGCCTTTCTTGACTTCTAGGCATTTTGTGAATCATGTTACTTCTTCTTGGACATAACATAGAATGATGAAATTTCTGAATTTGTGGCAAATATATAGAAAGTGAATCCCATTTGGAAGGAGAGCTGTTTGCCCTCTGCTGGGTAGTGGCCGGAGCTTCTGCCACTCTTCACCAGCTGGCCCTGTCTGTCATGAGTACATAGTGTGGGTGGTGTTGTGGGGTCTCATTGATATGAAATGTCAACTGGACGGCATAGAAAATCAGTCACTTGGGTCATCTGCATTGGGTGGGTCCACCTTGACCTGCACACATGGGGGTGAGAGGCAGAGATGGGCAGTCATGGGAGGCCACCCCCAGTGTGCTGACCGGGTGGGGCTGGGTCTGCAGAGGGCCCCACAGTGGCTGGGACCCCTCATCTTTCTCACATATCCTAGAGTGTCCTGACTGGATCTTTGATATCTAATATGTTTGTGAAGATCAAAACTCCAGCACAAAGTCTTCTTCTAAACTGTAAAATGTTGTTGTTTTGTGATCATTTGGATTTTCAAAATCCAGTTTTCATCTACCATAATCACTTTGTTGGTAGGATTTCAGACAAGTGACTATTTTAGTGAAAAACCAAAAGACCAGAAGTTGACCGACTGGCTATGAGGTGAGTTCTGGAAAAACCAGGAGCCTCCTTACTCTTCACACTTGCAGCTGTGTGCACTCAGAAGGGTCTTAACACACGCCCTGGACAGGATGGCGCCTGTAGGGCTGGGCAGGAGCAGTTTGAGATGGGGAAAAAGGAAAGGTATAAAGCCCCTTTGGAGTTGTTGGACAGAGTGTGCATTATGGTTTAGGGGACAGAACACAGAATTGGAAGGGCCGTGTGAACTTTGGCAAATCGCAACTTCTCTGGGGTGGAAGCAACGTGAGGAGGTTGGTCTGCACCGTCTTGGTGTCTTTGTGGTTTGAGAAATGGCACATTGGGGCATTTTGACCTTGCACTGAAGTAAGTCATAGCATCTAACTCTGCTTGACCCTCCTGTTTTACAGATGCCTTTGTGAATAGCCAGGAATGGACGCTAAGTCGATCTGTCCCGGAGCTCAAAGTGGTGAGTGATTCGTCTGGCCTTGGTGGATGTCATTCCTCACCCGCAGGAGGGGGTGCTCGGTACGAGGTGGGATGTGACCTGTGAGCACACACAAACCTGCGTCCCAGGGCCTGCTGGTCTCCTGGGGCCCAGACGAGGGGCTTGCCTCTAAGTGCATCCCTGGGAGGGGCCAGTTGTAGCTGGCAGTTGGGGCTAGAGCCCTGAGTGTGCTTGCAACGGCCTTGAAGGACAGCCAGTCAGTGTGGTCTTGTGTGCGCAGGGCAGGATCCATTTATCATTCTCATTTCCAGGTGGGGGTCTATCTGGGTGTGTGTCTGTGTCTGACTCTGTCTCTCTGTCTCTCTCTCTCTCTCTGTCTCTCTCTCACACACACACACCCACACCCACCCACCCACACACCCCCATGCCTTTATTCATCCTTTGCAGGATGTTACTGAAAGTTTCTGTAATGAGCCATCAAGCTTTGGAATTCACCATTAAAAAAAGTGACTATTTATTATATTACAAAGTAGTGGCATAAAATTAAAAGAAGAATTTTGTGTTTATTATAAACTTTATTATGAACCACCGTGAGATTATTTAAAACTTCAAATTGGCTTATAAAAAATGACTTGGGTCTATTGCAGCCACACCTTCGAGCACCTCCCCACTGTGTGCCCCCACCTTAGGATGGAAGGAAGGGACAGATAGAACTTTTAGACAATCATGTTCTTTGTTACAAAATAAGTGGCATTTGGAGGATGTATCTGTGTGTATATATGTATATTTACATGTATATGTGTATACGTGTGTGTGTGTATATATGTATTTTTTAAACTTCTCAGGTGATGGACTATAAAATGGAGACGGGTAAGCTTTCCTGTTCAGCAGACTATGGATTAAGCGTGGCTCGGGCATGGGCCTGGTCCCTTCTCCCCGGCACCTCACTCTCAATATTTCTTTCCCCTGCGTGTGTCCTTTCTCCCAAGGTCCACATTTCTATCAGTAGCTCTAGCCTGTCTGCCCAGTGGTCCCCAGAGGCCCTTGGACGTCTACTTCTCATGGGCCCCACCCTCAGGGTGCTTCGTGGAGGACCATGGGACATGGGACGGGGACAGGAACGTTCAGGTTTCTCGCTTCTGAGATGAGGAAATTGAGCAACAAAGAAGATCCAGATTTCTGAAGAGATGACATTTGTGACCAGGAAAAACACGTCTTTAAGAAATAAAGGACATGTGAGAGGCCTAGTCTCGTGCCCTCCCATTGGTGTCTGACACGCTGTCCCTGCTGCCATCTCTGGGTGTCGTCGGCTGGGACCATCTCCTTCCCGTTGCCCCTCATTCCTCCCACCCGAACTCTGACCTTTCTCTGTGGCGCCTGCCAGCGGGTTTCTTGTGGGAGACAAAGGGTCCGTCAGTCCCAGTGCCCTGTCAGAAGCCCGGGTTCCGCAAGACTGGCCCCGAAACAGCCACCTCCTTCTGTCCTGTGTGTTTCGTAACTGCTCTACCTGGCACGTGTTAATCCTGGAGGACACCTTCAGGAAATACCTGTCAAATGGAGGCCGAGAAGTTGGCAGTGTTGTTACTGGAGTTTTTCAGAAAGATTT